CCCAGCACATAGCATATGAATGGAAAGGAAGTTTCTGTCCGAGGCTTGCTTAAGTGTTATTGGAGCACAGAGCAAAAGTGGGCGGGACTTAAAAAGGGGTCAAATTTGATTTCATCTGCTGATAAATAAATAGACTTTGTCGTGAGATTGTTTTCTAAACAACTCTTGTTTTTACCACATGCATGAATGTTCCCATCGTTTCCAGTTATCTGCCAGTGTACCATCACCCTCTGTTTCTCCCGTGCAGTTCGATTCAATTTTTATTGTCCCAAGAGATGAATACGGTTTGCAGATGGAGTTAACAATAAAATAATGGAATAGAATAAAAAAGCGTAGTGGGAATGCAATAAAATAAAGGAACACAAGTGAAATCACAAAGAAAGTGTTTTATGCCACACTGACAATGAGCTGATAAAACCCTGCAGGGAGTCAATAGCTGAATATACTGCAATAAAAATCATCAGTGCTGCTGGGGCATCCACCAAAAGGAATTGGTGTAGCACTTATGACTGACAGTAATAAGGTTTACAAATATTTCTATTCAGTCGTGAGAAGGAGTAGAGACATTTTATTCTACAGTTAGTGAATAATGGGACAGCTAGTTAAAGGGAAAATCCTCCTCCAGTTTATCATTGTTTAAAAATAGCAACTGGAAGATATCTCAAATTCTTGTTGTTTGGTGCTCTGTTTTTCCATGGATATTATAAGATACTTCCGATGCAGCTACAATGGTATAAAAAAGTAAAAAGGGCCACAAATGCAGCACTAAATTTCTCTCAAACATCAACAGCAGGCTAAACATGCTGTTTTGGTGTCAGTCCCTCAGGATTATTGAGCAAAGCACTTCTTTCTAGACTCTTCATTTTGCTCCGACTTTCAACCGTCACACAAAGAGAAAGAAATCCACCAAGAGAAGAGGAACACACAACAATCACTCCACCGACAGTACCCTCAAGGGACCAGTACAATACATCCAGCAGACAAGTTGTGTTATCAGTAAAAGGATACGATTCTCCCTTTTCTCGGATGAAGAAACCGCGTTCTCTTGCTGTCACCACCACTCCTGCTCCTGCTATTGCTCATTACCTTAACATAAAACACAGAGCTAAATACAACAAGTTCACACCTGCTCCCTTGGGGTTGTGGGAAATGTAGGAAACCATCATCTAAATCAAATGTAGACAAGGCAGGTTTGAGGGGAACGTGGGATTCACAAAACTTCAGCACAAAGACTGATGAGATCTCAGCGGTGTGCAGGGAAAAAAGGCGGTAAGGTGATGGGGGGTCTGGGTCTTTATGCAGCAGTACACTCCTTTTCCATCCACAGATAAGCTTTCTTTTTTTCTTTTGGAGCAGGTAGTTGCCTGGGTGGGCCTGGTTGGAGGCAATTTTTCCTGCCCTTTTCCTCGACCCCGGTGTCCTGCAGCTGCTTGATGGGGGAGCAAATGACAGCCGATGACCCTCTCAGCAGTCAGCAGCGCAGACAAGGTGCTGCAGTTTGTCCTTGGAAGCAGGAGGAGGGTGAGCCAGACTGAATACCAGGACGCTTTCGATTACTGCCTCAGAAAAATTGGACTGGGATAGGTTGTGTGGTGTCAAGTTTTCTCAGATGCCACAGGAAGATCGACTGTTGTGCTTTGCTAATTAGGCGAGAAGAGATGTTTTCCTTCCATCTGCAGGCGTTAGTGGATTCAAGTGCATACGTGTGTGCTTGTGTTTGTGTGTGTACATGACATGCATGGCCTCTGCAGCAAAGATCGATGTTTGTATGAATATGAAGAAAAATGGAAATGTAGCAGATACAGTGATTTATTAGACTGCCCTCTCTCACACACACACACACACACTAAGATCCTCACAGAAAGAGAAAAAGAGGGAGTGGGAGCAGGAGAAAGAGAGGAACACAGAGAGAAAGTTTGCTCGAGGCAATATTACCCACCTCTGTTGTCTTAAAATCTAGCCCTCAGCCATGCAGTCAGGAGTTGTGTCAATATAGGTTATTATATACGCACACACACGCATTCGCCGGCTAACCGAGCTGCACGGTGGAGCAGCACCATGCATGACAAATGTGTCATGAATAAATATCTCCACATCAGATTAAATGAAATAAAGTTGCATCAGAGAATGTGAGCGGGCACACAGACAGCAAAGAGCATGCAACACATGACTTGATGACAAGTTTGCAGCCAAGGATGCTGTTACTAGAGTAAATTCATTGTGTCACTCTGGGACTCATTAAAGCACACGAGTAGGACTGTCATTAAGTGGGAACCCAAACTGGGTAAATGTTGTCCCTTAAAACTAAGGCTCATTAAAACACACAAGAGCAAATGAGAGCCCAAAAGGAGCAGGCGTGTGTGACCCATTTTGGCTCATGACTGCGTCGTCGTATGCTGTATGACACACACACACACACACACACACACACACACACAAATATCCTAAACAGTGAACTGGCCGACGAACTGAGACAGGATGTGGATGAAGGCCACACACGTCAAATGTGCCAGATGAAATCACATTAGTAACTTCAGTGGAATCTAATTAAATCAAGTTGAATCAGCAGCTGAGGCGGTAAAACCACTGCTGGTTGGCTCTCCGCCCTGCAGCCATGACACAGTCTCACGCTCCTGGTTACAAAAAGGGGTTTTCTTCTTAGCAGGAGTTCAAACACAATGGACTGCAGCCCTGTTATTGCAGAGGTTGTTGCTCTTCTTCTTTTCCTCCTTTCCCCTAATTTCCCCCCTGAAGCACTTAGAGCTCAGAGACCATACAACCTATACACAGCCAAGGTTTCCAGATAGGTCTAAAATTTCCTTCAATACTCGGGCAGTAAAAGTTATACCAGGGGTGTCTTAATTGACTGGCAGTCTGTATAATCAAACCATTAAATAGAGGCAAAATGCTAATAAAACAGTCTTATGCCCACTAGCCAGATGGTGGCTCTGTAACAAGCTTTTTTATACTTAGGACAATTTTTTGTAAACCACCTATCGTAGAAACACCATTTTTTTTTCATGATTTCCTGGGATGAGGTGAATCAGCTGCACACAGGAACATCTGTTTCTACACCATACTGAATTTTTAAAATAGTGTATTTATGTAAACTCCCCCAAAACCATTTACCCAATCATCTACAGCTTTGCCATTTGGCTTCTCTGGACTCAAGCCACGATGTTTGAATTTAGTTGTTATAGGTGCTAGGGTGTGGCGTGAATCAAAGACAAACAAACTGGAATTTTGCAAGTAGCAAATTCTGTAACAACCAGATACTCGTAACTCCAAAGTGGTTTTTTCAAACTAACATAATGGAGAAAATCTCTTTAGTCAAAATTCAATAAGACTTTTCCAATATATACCAGTGTTCATTTTTCCATTCAGGTGCTCAAAGTCAGACAGTTCCTTTTTCTATGGACCTTATTTCTTATTCTTGTTCACATTCTCATATCAATGTGCTCTCTGAGAATATATTGGATGTTGGAATTTGGATTATACTTGACCACTACACTAGTCAGTCCCTTTCTCATCTGTTACGTCTCACCTCAACCGGCAGATATTGCAACACTGCCACCTGGCGGTTAAATACTAAAACTGCAATATATTTATAGTAGACCCTGACTCCACGTGCTGTGCACTTGCCAAAACACATTATGAATAAAAAATACATAGGCATATATATGGTGCATAAAATAAATGGTACATGATTCATCTCCCGCTTCTACTTAAATCCAATATTATAAAGAACGTGACCTTTTGTGATCTGTGTGACAGTATTAATTGCTCATTTATGTTGTGTGTGATGTCGGTTATGGCCTGGCTGGTCTGTGTTGAATAAGAGGCTTTAATCTAAATTACACTTTTACCTGGTTAAAGCTTACAAAATGCTATGAAACAAAATGAAATAAAGAGCAGACCAGTAAAGGGACAAATATAAATATTGGATTAGTAAAAGGTGTAGTGTCCCCTTCTGAGCCGAAGCTGCAAAACACGCAAAAAACATGAATGCCCATATATCTAGAGCCAGTGTTTGGTTTGTCTCTTTTGGGATACTACATAAACAATGCGCTTTATTATGGCGGCCTCCACGGAAAAGGACCCGCTCTATAGATTTAAACAGATCATTCTTAAGTAAGAAAAACATAACAATTCTTATATTCAGGTGATTATACACTATTGAAAACAAACCTATGCATGTTATATTCCATTTCTGCCAACAGAGCCTCTTAAATGATACACACCTTTATGGTAACATATAATGGGTTAGAAATTACTCTGCAGTTCAGGTATTTTAAAAAAAATATATATTATTATTAATATAAAACGTACTTTCTGTATAAATCAATGTGCCTATCTCACGACATACTTTAGGTTTTCATGTTTGTTTCAACATGTTTGAGTTATCTGGATAAACGTATATATTTCCTGTAGACTACAGTACCCGTCATGCCTCTCGTTGTGCGTGATGACGCCACAGAACATCAACAACTCACATGTGGCCTAAAGCGGCGAGCGCCGTTGCTGTGTTAGCAACAACTGGGTAATGTGGAGCTGACTTCCAGCCGAAACACCACATTCAAATAAATATTATTTGGCTATACGCGTTTTTTACACAGCTGCACTTGAGCCAACATGCCTCCGAAGAAACCCGCCCAGCCTGCGGGAAATAAAAAAACCCAAGAGAAGAAAAAGGAAAAGATAATTGAGGTAAAAATAACACGAGTTAGCATGTCGGTATGTAGCGTTGGCGCTAGCTCGTCAGCTAACGGACCGCCGCACGCGCCGTACCCTGGCAGCCGCTCAGAGCTAACGAAGCTAACGAAGCTAACGAAGCTAACACAAGTGCCGACAAGTACAAGCTAAAGTTACACTGGTCTCTCGGTAGTTGTCAGCGGTACCTACCTGTTCATCAGTCGTTGTTGTTAATGTAATGGCCGTTTAATAAAAATGTAAACCACTGTAATTCAGTCGTAAGCGAGTTAGCCAACTGTCAGGACTTTGGTTATTTTGACTAATGCATGTATCTTACGGGGATGGTCAAGCTCCTAGCAGGGCCGTACCGGCCCAGTGGGGGCTCACACTTGTCCTTTTTAAGGTTGATATATGTCCCTTAAGTCAGTAGCTAAAAGTATTTGCCATAACATAACGTACTTACACTATATTCTGTTCGCTTGGTTGTGTTTGGATACATGAACGGGCAGCAGAGCAGAGCGGGCCCGCGGGCCTGCTGGTAGTCGGCCTCAGGACGGATGAGGGGCCAGATAGGGGCCAGTTTCGATGGCGAGCTAAAACAGGAGAAAAGTTTGTCATTTCAAAACGTGATTGTACTGTGAGAGTACTGTTCTCGCCGATGTTGGCTCCGCTAACCATAAGACCTCGTTATATTTCTCTGTCGGTGTGATCATACCGGCTTGGTAGCGTTAGCCGCCTTTTGCTGCTGTACAGCCACAGATTGTACTGCAACGTGTAAGTGTCTGCCAGATGGTTTAATGTCCTGGGAGTTTGGTCAGAAAGGTTGGATCTTCGGTGACTTAAATCATGAAGACAGATGTTTTATTTGCTCTGAATGTCAGTATCTATCCCCAGTCTAATGTCACAACAGGTAGTGATAGCACTTTGTCACCTGGAATCACATGGAAAGACCAAAACCAACACTGAATTGATTCTGTTAACAGGTAGTGACTGTATTTAAGGCCTAATATTACTGATTCCACTGTGCCATGGATCTCCATTGTTGTCCAGAAACTATTGAAAACTCGTGAGATTTCACAGCCCCGTCTTTCTGATAATGTACCGTATTTCATCTAAATCTTATTTAAGAGTCTGTAAGTCTCTTCTGTCTGTAAGTCTGTTATGCTGAAATAGAAACGGTTTTAGAAACTATCTGTCTCGTATAGTCACAAGAAAAGTGATTCCAGACAGTCCACCAGTTAATAGTTGTCACATCTGATTCATCACAGCTCTTTCCTCCTTACAGACTTGGTCAGTTTGCTAAGACAGATTGTTGTTGACCCAGTGGTTGTTGCCATCTTAGAGTTGACAGATTATAGCAACGTGACATAATGAATCTTACTTTCTGTCTTTGGCCCCTTTTCTAAGCAGCCAGCTTTGTGTGGCTCAAATAAGATTCTGCTTTTCCCTGAAATCACTTACTAATTACCATCGTGTCCACATATTGGTGTTTATATAACCAAAGCAAACAGCTGCATTATCCTGAACGTTACTGCCTCTACACACTGTGATAACAGAATATTACTGTACAGAATCGACACGAATGCAAAAGCAGAGATGCAGGGTCAACTCGTGTCCCTGTTGTCCGTGCCATTCTGATCATTTGAAAATGCATTAAAAGACGAGCGGGTTTTTTGTGTGTGTGTTTTTAACTCTTGATAATTGTGTATATACTGTTTCATAGGCCAGTATATCCTGCAGCTTTATAGTGGGTTTGTAGACGCAGGTCGTCTGTAATCAGCGGCAGTCACATTGTGGGATTTGACCAGCAGATGTTGGTGGGCGTACCAGTGCAATGCAGAAGTAACTTTATTGATGCTTCTACAATTCTCATGTGGGGCAGGCCGGAATCACAGTGTATAGAGGCCAATGAGATCTGTGCTGCTACAAGTGGCTACTCCAGGTGTGTTGTCAATGAAAGTAACTCTTGTTTGGCTTTTTTTTTTTTTTCTAGGACAAGACATTTGGCTTGAAGAACAAGAAAGGGGCCAAGCAGCAGAAGTTCATCAAGAACGTAACCCAGCAAGTCAAACATGGACAACAAAGTGCCAGACCGGTTAGGAAGCAGTTCTTGCTCTCAGTATCTGTGTTTCCCCATTCTTTAATAGCACTGATTGTCTCCCTCCTCACTCTTTCTAACTCTACCTTTTTTTCCCTCTTTCTTCCAAATAATTTAAAATGTCAGCTGGGAAAATGGTGCATTTGTCAGAGACAACTGATAGTTGACTAGATTGCACCACGTATCAGGAGTTTAGTCTCCTGGCTGTATGGTAGATATACAGATCTGTGTGCTCAGATACGTACAACCAATAAAACAACTACTTACAAAACGAGCTAATGTCATTGGATCAAATCATCTTTAACTGTATCTACCGTCTGTGTGTGTGTGTGTCTGTCTGTGTGTGTGTGCGTGCGCGCGCAGGGCGATGCAGATAAGACCAATAAAAAGACCGACAAGAAGAAAGAATTGGACGAACTCAATGAGCTATTTAAACCTGTAGTCGCCGCCCAGAAAGTCAGCAAAGGTAACCAAGTGAAAGAATCAAGTTTAACTTTGTTAGTTGTTCATGTAAAAGTATACATATATGTGTAAATATATTTGCCTCTTCTGTCTTGTCTGCAGGTGTTGACCCAAAGTCAGTGCTGTGCGCGTTCTTTAAGCAGGGCCAGTGTACTAAAGGTGACAAGTGCAAGTTCAGCCATGATTTGTCAATGGAGAGGAAATGTGAGAAGAGAAGCGTCTACGTGGACGAACGAGATGAAGACCTGGAGAAAGGTCAGTGTATAGTGTAGGTCGTCATCCTACACTAAAAACAGAGTGGGATAAAACTGTATAGTGCTAAGTGATGTTAGAGTTGGGACCAATCAGATCCAATATCGGTACAGGGAGCCAATGTTGACATCATTCACATTTTAGATATCAGACGTCTGATGGTTTCATGAATGTGTAATGATGCAATTTCAGGCCCATAGCAAAATATTGCAGTACAAATGAATGAATTAGTAATTAAACAGTACTACAGAGTTATCCAGTAGTCCCCATACTGTTTTGTCTCCAAGAATTCTATATGTACAGGTGGAGCTTGTGCTGTACCAGGAGACAGCTGTAACTGTATAATAGCATGACTCAACATTTCCTTAGTTTGGACATAATTTAGTCTTGAAACACAGAAGAGAAAGATATATGAGCCAGCACCCTCGCACCCTGCTGCAAAAACGTAACCACCCCTCACTTAATGCAGATTCTCAGAAACAGTAACTATTACATGATACAACAGGACAGGTTCTAATTAAGTGAGGTTTTTTGTTTTTGTAAGAATGTTTGATCTGCACCAAGAAGTGCAGCTACAGTGTTAAACATACAAAGTTCATAGGTGTAAACTATACAGATGCTGGTATTGTAGTGACATATACAAATATTAGTATTCATGTTACCCAAAGTGATTGTATTGTGCATTACTGGTAAACTTTTTAGTGAAAAATGTTTGATTACTTGTTGATTTAATTAACACTGGGCCTGGTATGTTCCATTTAGACACCATGGACAACTGGGACGAAAAGAAGCTGGAGGAGGTGGTCAACAAAAAACACGGAGAGGCTGAGAAGAAGAAAGCCAAAACACAAATTGTAAGTGTGTTCTAAAGAGGAGTAAATAATGAATGAAGACAGGGAAATGAAATGGTCCATTTGATAATTGATGATGAACAGTTGTACGTTGTAATAACTTCATCTGTGATTATGAGGTGATTATGAAATGCTGGTTTGTCCCCAAACACATGGAACCACTTGACAGTCACTCAAACTTAAAATTCGGCCAGCTAAATACAGTCTGTTATCCCTGTACCTTCTGTGTAACATGATCTACTCTGTTGTGTTGTTGCAGGTGTGTAAGTACTTCCTGGACGCCATAGAGAATAATAAGTACGGCTGGTTCTGGGTGTGTCCAGGAGGGGCCGATATCTGCATGTACCGACATGCCCTTCCACCCGGCTTTGTGCTGAAAAAAGACAAGAAGAAGGAGGAGAAAGAGGATGAAATTTCGCTGGAGGAACTCATAGAAAACGAGGTAAGGATGGATGGGGAGATGCAAGGTCTCTGAGGTTACTCCAATCCAGCCAATATTTGTAGAAGAACAGGGGGCTTGGAAAAAATGGGCTGAAAGGAATCTACTGGGGATGCTTCAGCACATTACTTATGTGCATCCATCTTCATTCCATAAACTGGATTTTGCACCAAATCTCAACAAACATGGTTGCTACTATCATGGAGGTCCAGTGTAGAACTAAACGTGCACAAATGATGAAGAAATTAGTTTTTAGATTGTTGTCTAGAAGTTGTTGTAGAATGATGATGATAAATGTAAGTAGCATTTCATCAAGGCTTTAGAGTTTGTTCTTCAATTTGCCACCCAGCTGTAAGAAAGCTTAACATAAATACACAACTGCTCACCACAGTTACATCCAGTAGAAATGGTAAGCAGTGGTGGTTAGCTCACCATTCTGTTCGATGTTGGCTAACAAGCTGACATTAGTACCAGCAATTATTAGGTCAATAATACACTTTATTACGCCTCATTACACCTTTTAAAAACAGTGCTTCACATATACACATTATAGTATACTACGATAGAGATGAGCTCAATGAAACAGAATGAGTTAGGTTGTAAAATGCCTAATGTCTATACAGATAGACTGGAAACAAAAGAAAGATCCTTGATCAGTAAAAACAACTCAGAAATAAATCTGACAACCAAACTGGGAAATGTAAGCAGTTCCCTTAAGACACTGTTGCCTAACAGTTGCGGTCCTCCATCATGGCTACCAATGTGAAATGTTTTTTAAATACTGCATGTGACTGTTGTTACCGTGGAAGCTCTCCTTACTCTCCACATCCTGATCTGCCTCTCTCCCTGCAGCGTGCAGCTCTCGGTGCCGATGTGACCCGGATCACCCTGGAGACCTTCCTGGCTTGGAAGAAGAGGAAAAGGCAGGAGAAGGTTGGAACACGTTTACTTTATTAGCATCAGTTTGTCTGGGCAGCATCAGAAATGGTTAAATACAAGTCCTTTACATTTCCCTGTGCAAATGAGGTCTTGTGATGATTCAGGAAATAGTCACATGTAGTTTAATTCCACAAATCCTAAAATGTTTTACGAGTTTTATGTGCATAAACGTTTCAATTGATTTACAGGTGGACAAAGCGAGGGAGGAGATGGAGAAGAAGAAGGCCGACTTTAAGGCTGGAAAATCGCTAGTGGTAAGTTTGGCTCCAGCTGGTTTGTGAGTGTGTGTGTGTGTGTGTGTGTGTGTGTGTGATATAAAAAAAAAGTATATGATATTAATATCTATATAGTCTATATCTATATATATATATATATATCAGATAGATAGATACGAAGTACGATACTTATATAGAATAATAATATGATACTAAGATATAGATATATGAATCGATAGGGATATATTATATATAGATATATAGATATATATCTATATAAGATATATAGATTATATATCTATATCTAATATGGATATAGATTATATATAGATGAAGATACCGATATAGGATATATAGAATATATATAGCTATAATACATAAGATATCGAAACGTAGATATAGGATAGATATAGGATATAGATATAGATATATATAATACCGTATATAATCGTATATAACTATAATATGGCAAACAATACGGATTTTGACCTTAATCACATGATCTGCAGGTGAGCGGCCGTGGAGGTGTTTCGAGTGTCCGTCCCAAGAGTTGGTCGACCCCGTGATGATGCTGAAGCCCGATGACCACTCGATATGCACCGATGATGAGGGAAACGATGATATGGAAGAGGTAAATATGAACATATTGTGAACAAATGTAGCATTTGATACCCGATACCAGAGAGGGCTGACACCCCTGGAAGCCTGCCAGCTCCCTGCATCGTTTGACATAATCTTTCTCCCCCTGTGGCATTTAACAGCCGACTAGAGTATTTGCAGAATTTTGGTATGGACTTGGTACCTTAGCATCGGTTCAGGTGACATCCCTGTTAGTGGCACAGTCACAGAATGTGAGCCTCTCCTGTGCAGATCACAGCCTCTACAGTCGGGTTATTTCATTGGGCTTTGTATGACTTCATATTGATTTGTGCTCGCACTTGAAGTGAGATGTCCCAGCACAATAACTGCACTGAACATTATTTGGTGTCTAATATAGTTTACATTGTTTACAAAATGTCTGCAGTATGACAGTGTTGTGATGTGTGCTCAGTCTGTCAGCCTTTCCCAAGTTATTTTGGTTATGCTGTGAGGTTGGTGTTGTCAGGCAGTGATCTGCAGGTCCTCACATTTTCAGTTTTTGTTGTAGTGCTGAAATTGTTAAAGAAAATGTAGCACTCTACATGAGATCATGGCTGTGGCTTTTACAGTGAAAATGACACTTGTGCATTTCTTACTGCACTAATGTCCTGCAATAGTGTTTAAAAAGTGTCACAAATAAAGCCCACATTTCCAGGTACGCTGGCTGCACAAAGAGAAGTCAAACAGAAAGTGAGGCTCTGGTGATGTGGATGATGTGGAATCCTTACAGTTTCCACATCTCAAAGATGAGACAGCAACATTTTCCAGTACACTGTTTTGCCTCATTCATAAGCAATTATAATTGAGCTTTGTTACAGGTGATGCAGAGCGCTTTAAATGGTCTAATTCCTGCTGAATTGCAGCTGCCTGCTTTTTCACGCAACAAATAGTTTGCCTGTTAATTATCCACACCTGCTGTACTCCTGTGTGCTTCTGCGTAGATCCAGGCTGTTAATTAGTACAGAACATGTTTAATGCACCAACAAGACATGTTTTATTCTTAACTTAATTAAACATAATTTAGCTATTTTTCCTGGTGGATTCAAATAAAACTAAAATGTGCAATAATTTGCTATATAAATCTACTATAACTATAAACTATAAATCAGGTCCCTTATTAAAGCAAACATCACTATAAGAAATAAATCCTTATTCATCCAGCTGGCCTTGAATGAACACACAAGGACTCCTTATCACCGTATATCACCAACACACTTTGGGACATACTGACATTCAGTATTTGGTATGTTAGACACAATGGATAATAAATGACTACACCTACTGTTGTTCAGTAGTAACCCACGTGAAGGTATCTTTTATTTTCACTGTCTATACCAGATATCCTCAACATATTACTTTGATGTTATTTTAGCCTCTGTCCGCTCTAAAGCTTATTTATTTTTATTACAGATCAGTAGCACAGAGTTTCAGGACATAGACTTATCCCGTTTCGTTCCACAAGAGGTCGACAACACAGGCATTACCGTAGCATCTACGGACCGCTTCACCTCCAGGAAAAAGACTCAGCCGACGGAAACAGACAATGGTAAGAAAAACGTACTCCTTAGTGATTTCTGTCTAGTTGGTAGGCCGAACTATGTTTCACCAGCCAGTACATTTAGTTAGACTCATAACTGACACACAACAAAACAACCTGAGTAAACAAATCTCCTCTTCTGTCTACAGAGGAACTGCTGAACGGAGCTTGCGGTGGCGCTGAGGCAAACGGGCTTTCGGGAGCAGAGGGAGGCGGGGAGGACGGAGGAGGGGAGGACGAAGAAGAGGAGGAGGAGGTTCCAGTGGATGAGAACCTCTTCACGGGAGAAGATCTGGAAGAGCTCGACGAGGAACTCAACACATTGGCGCTGGAGGACTGAGAGGGAAGCACGTGAGAGGGAGGGAGCGTGAGGTGGACGTTAGGACGGACTTTGTGACAAAGGGAAGGACAGATGGATGCATGGAGCTAAACAACAAAGAGACCAGATGTTTGAATGATTTTAAATTTCAGAGACTCCAGTAATAAAGCCTGATTATATCACGACATCACTGCCTGTCTCGGCCCCCTCTGTTTTCTGTATCGCCCCTCTCACATCCCAACACGTCCTCTGTTTTTTTTGTCCATTGGGTGTCCAGATGTCCACAGCAGGGCCAATTAGGGTTAACCAGGGGCCAACTCCACATGAATGTGTCAGAATTTCCATAGAAAGAATCGGGCTGCTGTTGTTAATGTGCACTTTTGTTGCACGACGTTGAAACTGAAACTACTTTTGATAAATTAGGCTTCAAGTGCTTCTCGACCCGATCAGTTAAATATTGAATATAGTGATTTGCAGAGTGAGATAATGTAAGGGCTTCAAATTGAAAGCACTATACTTGGGGGTTGTACTGTAAGATAACACTTATCATAACATTATTAATGGATGCTTAAAGGAGCTGTTGTAAATGGAAGTTAGACAATGTGGGAAATGAACAGGAGTGATTCTGTTGTAAGAAACTGAATCTGTTCTGCTCTCATTCCAAAATAAAAGCTATACTTTAGGGTTGCACTTTCATCTTTCTGAGGAACATTTCTTCTGATCCATCTCATTTCAAGTTAAAGCCCTGTTGAAAATTCTTGTGTTATAGAAATTTCATGCAACTTTTTGAAGGAAAAGTCCAGAGCAAACTTGTAAAATGTTGGCCCTATTTCTGAAACCAGATTATAATTCAATTACTATAATTCAGCCCCAGCAGGAACACCAAATGGTCCCATTATCAGCCCAGTATTGTAAATAATATTCTCATGAGTTGCCTCCTGAAGAAATAAAAGATTACTGTACATCCAGTGTGTGTGTGTGTGTGTGTCTTTTGCATGATGCCAGGTCCCACATTATGATAGAGGCAGCAGTAGTTGATATTATTGATTTATTAATGATGATGGTATGAAAGGGGTTGCGTGTAGCCATGTACCTACAGAGAATTAAAACCCCAATCTGCAGCTCCCCTCGGCCTTACAGAACTCCATGGCGAGTTTCAGCTCGTTGTTTATCTGTCCCGGCAGCACTCACTGTTTGGATTCACTTCCACCGCTCTCATCACCTGCTCAGCAGCAAGTAGAGAGGTGCAGTGAGGGGCTGGTAAACACAGTGGCTCATTCTGCAGCAAGAGAGGCAGATGATTTCCCTCAGGAGACCAAACAGAGCTAAAAGAGTGAACGTTTAATATGTTAATGTTTCTCTGTACCTGCTGGATGTGTAAAAATGAAACTGTCTTTGCTGTGTTCACAATTTGATTCTGCAGTGGGTGATTTGATTTAAACGTACACATTTTGCGATACCCCACTGCTGTTGGCGGCCAGATCAACCTGTTTGGGGGCCTCTGTTGCCACAGTACAGTGCACATCACGTTACAGTTAGCAGCTTCATTTAAGTTTGCACAGAAACTAAACTAAGACCCAGGAACCAACGGATACATAAACTGCACTACTTGCCTGGTCCAAAGTTACCTGTATGCCAGCTAGTTTGTGGTAGTTTGATGAAACACACCATCATTTACAAAGTAAAAAGACAGGACCCAGTTTATACTGCTAACTAAAAAAAAAAAAACACATTTTACACATTTTTTTTTTCTAAATTGTCAAAAAGCAACTGACACAGTGAACCACAGGGCCCCTGGAGGTCTTGGCCCTTGAGGCAGCAGCTAACCTATATCCACATATGTTTTGGTGCCAGTGAATGCATTTTCAAGAGTAAAATGCTTTTGTCAAAAGGATTTCATGGCTGGCACATCTTAAATAAGATAATTACAGTACACATATAGAAAGCGCCCCATAGTTACATGTACCTGAAGCATTGTTTGGATCACACCAGCCCACCTCATTTACAACTGTCACACATTCATACCTACCAAGGGAGGCGTGTTCAGCAGCTGCATATAATATATTCAGAGCTAGACCAACTGAAGATTCAGAAAACCACTTTTTGTCATTTTCTTTATTTCTAGTCTATCCTCTCGCCCCATACAGAATTTAAACTACATTTTCTCTCAACTAAAAATGTTTTGTCATGTTCCCCTCTGCATACTCAACCACATTTCCCAGCTGATCTTATTTAGCCAATATTTGTACCCCACCACTATTCTGAAGAATTATCAAAACAAACACATGAAAGAAGTCAAGAAGTCAGTGCACAATGGCAATATTCTCAGATGGACAAAAATGTATTTTAAGCCACCAGGGAGCACGTGATCGGACAGCTACAAAAGAAGAGACGACACAGGTTGAATGGTGTGTTCAACTGATCTTTATTTCTACTGAGACAAAAAAAGTTCACAGTAAGTCTGACAGACACCTTTGAACTGAGCTCAACATGGGATTACAAGGCATACCATAAAAGAAAAAAGTAGTAGATCTGAAAAACATAACACTCCAGATCCGGCTTTACAAAGCCTGGTTTTAGCTCATCAACGGACTGCAGCCTCCTGCCAACCACCTGAACTACAACGTAACCCATGAGATTGTTAAACTTGAAAAAAAACAAGTGTTTCTTCAGTAGTCTGTGGATACACCATGGTGTGCTTACTTAGTCCAGCTGACAAGAGCCAAAAGCAGTGTAAAAAGCAGAAACACTGACACTAAGCATGAACTACACATACACACACATCGATGCTGCTCACACACTGTATAGGATTAACTTTAGTAGTGGATGCTACTGTGTGTTCGTTAGATCAGTGAGTCACAGCAAGGTCACTGACCACAGGTAAGGTCAGACAGGTGTCAAAGGTCGTGTCAGAGGTCGGGAGAAGGTCTTGATGTCGGTCGGTCGGTCGGTCAGGTCAGATGTCATTGTGTCATGACAACAGTCGCCTAGGGAACAAGAAGCTGCAGTGTTATTCACAGGGAGAGAAACAACCGTCATCAGCAACTTGTAGACATCTTGATAGACTGAGTAGTGCTTTCCTTACTAATGCAATAAGTGTTTTACACGAGGGAACAAGTGTGTGGATGTGTGTGTGTGTGTGTGTGTGTGTGTGTGTCTCACAGAGGGCCTAGAGTCTGCATGTTCACCCAGCAAGAAGAAGTTCTACTTAGCAATACCTGGTGTTGTATATTATACACAAACTGCTGCTGACCGTTTGTGTTGATGCGTCACTTCATACGAGATACTGTACTGGTACTACATTTCAGTGTGTTCAGAACTCGACTGGGTGCTCAGCTGTCTACCATAAGCATATGACATTACAACACACACTTACTCATGTAAGAAATGTGACTTAACTCTGCAGTTATTCATACTGGCGCTCCCTGCAGCAGAAAACTTGGCACTTACCGCTCATTCGTGCCCCGTGGCCCTAGTAGGTACGAGGACGTTTATGAGACTCCTCTCTGGGAGGATCAGCCAGCATCACCTTCATCTTTACTCCGTTGACGACCCGACCGTGAAGCGCTGCCATGGCCTCGTCTGCGCACTGCGAGACAGACGGAGACGAACACAAAGAGGAGGCCATATTTATTTAGGGAGAGCTACTTGATTTGGTATGACACCTTTTGGAATCATACCACTTCACTTCCTTCATTATTTAACTGTTTGACCTGTGTCACCTGTTTGTCTGCATACTTCATGTATCCAACCTTCCTTCCAGGAACCAAATGGACCTCAATAAGGGAACCAAAGCGACTGTAGAGAAAAAACATTTCATTGTAAAGCAGGGACATTTGTTAATGCTGATTACACTGCCATTTAAGAGCATTTAGCTTGATGATCATTATCCAACGGCAGTGACTGAGCTTACAGTTGTAATCAATTGAACCTTTGCCCTTCTGGCTAACGGACCATTGTTTTATGCATTTTGTTACGTTCGTGTAATATTGTATATTTGTGTTATAATCAAGTTTTTACCAGAAAACGTCCTCCAGCACATCCGGGGGCAGCGGGGAGGGGCTGAACACAACAAACAAGCGCTCCTTCGCCTTGCTGTCAGGTGGAGCGAGCTTCTTCAGAGGGGGCAAGTTGACGTCTGTCTGAATGCGGGACACTGGGGAGACAGCAGAGAAGCCCTGGAGGATACCAACAAACGCACCCAGGATCAGTCATTCAGCTTAAACATTCTTGTTTTTCACAGCTGACTATAAAACCAACAGGGCAAATATTTATTATCTTAAACACCGATACAGAGGGAGCGGCTTCTCTTCTATATAGTCCACCCTGTTCAATCAACATGAGTCTACAGTAGCCCAGAATGGACCAGCTGGCTGTAGATAGGGCTTTTATGCGTCCACTGCAGTTGCTCCTACACAGAAGTCTGAGCTACATTCAAATGGTTGAAATCTACAACTTCACCGTCAAGAATCCTTGAAATTTTGTGTAATTACCAACGTTTCTATTATTTAATGGGTAAAGTGCTATAGGTGTCAGAGGAGGCCTGGAGAAGCAATTAGCCAGAAGAGTAATTAACCTTGAGTTGTTATTATATACAGCGTGAGTTGTTGTGATGATGATTGAGTTTCTCTCTGAAGTGAAAATGTAAAAATAGAATAACTGAACTTTCAATTATTACATTTTTGTGGCAGTTTTCCAGATGAAGATTATTTCATCGTGATTCTGCTGAAATATAATCAATTTGTGTTTAACAAGATGAACAAAACACTTCGCATGAGTGCAAATCTCACGGAAGCAAAAAAAAAAACAGTGACGACCGCGAAAGAGTGAAAATAACTCCGAGAGACAAAGGGCAGAGGGGACTCGAGCGTTAATGCACTCACAGGTTTCATCACTTGGCTGGTGGACGGCCCGTTCCACACTGCAGACATCATCTGGGCGGCAACAAACTGCATGGCCATTCGACCTACGGGACTGCACACAAACACAAGCACACATCCTGATTCAAGCTCATCTTCAATGGAGAACACATTTATAGCGGGAACATGCGCGCTTAATAAAGATACTTTGCTGTCTGCATGTTTTTTTGTGGTTAGGTTTACATGAGGTTTTCCTCTTCGTCTTAAATGTGTGGCGCCAACAGCTTTTACTGCTTCAGACTGCGTATTTTGTCGTTTACTATATGAAGACTGTTTGCTCCTTTTCTTCATCGGGGTGCTGTGGAAAACCACTGCCCGGTCACTGTGGCCCACAGGCGGTAATGGTCACGTTCACCCATGAATATTTAACAAATATAGACCAAGCCGACGTAAGGAGAAGGTTACTGTTAATTATTAGTGGCATTTTGGTGCCAGCTTTTAAATTAATGGATAAATTAACTTTAAAGGGCATTTCTGCCCCATGCCTCCATTAATTAGGACCCTTCTAACGCTGCAAGCTGTTGTGTTTATGAATTATATACGCATGCGTGTGTATGTACCTGCTGCGGTCCTCTCCGTCATCAACAAAATTTACTGCCAGTCTGTTGCCAGGTGGATACTCAAAGCCATTGAGCTTTTCCTTGGCATAAACCGCTGACCCAAGGTTACTGTAGCGAATCAGAGCATGACCTGAGGGCACATGGCACAGGAAACAAAAGCAGCCAACAGGACAGGTTAATTAAAGTTACGACATGGTAGGGATTAATCATAGAACACTCAGCAAACTGATCAAGTAGTCGACCAACAGAAAACAATCTACCTTTGGTCAGAAATGGTCTGTAAATTGAACTACGTATTATAGAAACACTCTCCTTTTCTGTAAAGTGGGAAGTTAACACTTAAACAGTACTTAAGAAAGCTCAGCAAGGACTTTTCTTCATAATCCACAGATGAGTAAAGCCCATACTTTGCCTTTAATCACCAACCTTTGCTCATTCCATAAGCGTCTCTCTGCAGCTCACAGTATTCCATGCCAGGAATGATGTCAAACAGAGCAAAAATCTGCTCCTGGGTAAGCGCGGCCCGTGTTGACATCATCAGGCACCGTGTGAAGTCACCCGAGCGGTAGTCCATGACTGGGTAGTTGCCAGGGTCACCTGTAGAGGGATGAGGGACACCAGGATCAATAACAGGACAGAGACAACTGCAGTAACCTCTTTATTCACATCTTCAATGTAACCGTTTATTAAAATCTACCTTCAACCACAGCTCTGAATGCACCATCGATTTAAATGAGGAACTGTATTCTTTTAAATGACTGTGCTTTAACTCTAACTCATAACTTGAACTCATGAGCAGCTTGAATTTCTATTTTTATCAGGTATTCATTCTCAGGCTGACCAACAGAGGTTCTTGTGTATATCTCTGTTTACTTGCGAGCAGTCTTCTTCCCTGCCACTGATGGTGCATTGCTTTGTTTCTTGGTGTGTTACCGCCACCTGTTGATCAGTGGAATAACGTGAAACCACTGGCAGGAAAACAGGCACCCATTCATGAAAACATTGCTCCTAAAGATTTAAAAAAA